AAGCTCTGGACAGGCTTGGAGACTTCAAATTAGGAGAGCAAATTATTCAAACTGTGAAATATGCAGATGACCTTGTGTTAATGGCTAAGGAAGAAACTGTGCTACAGGGTATGAATGATAGACTAATCGAAATTGGAAGGTGCTAGGGCATGGAAATTAATGTGGAAAAACAAAAGTAATGAAAATTTCGAGACAACCAACCCCAGTCACAATAAAGATAGACCAAAAACAACTGGAGAATGTAAAATGTTTTAAATATTTGGGTAGCTTGTTAACAGATGATGGAAGGTGTACTTGTGAAATTAAATCTAGGATTGTCATGGCAGAAGCTGCATTTAGCAAGAAGAAAAATCTTTTTACCAGCAAATTGGACTTAAATTTGAAAAAGAAACTAGTGAAATGCTACATTTCGAGTATCGCTTTGTATGGGGCTGAAACTTGGACACTTAGGGCAGTAGATCAGAAACACCTGGAAAGCTTCGAAATGTGGTGTTGGAGAAGGATGGAGAAGATCAGTTGGACTGATTATGTGAGAAATGAAGAAGTGTTATTTAGAGTCAGTGAGCAGAGGAATACCCTACATGAAATAAGAAAATGGAAGGCTAATTGTATTGGTCATATCTTACGCAGTAACTGCCTTCTAATAGAAGTTATTGAAGGAAAGATAGAGGGGCAGATAGAAGTGACCAGAAGACGAGGAAGAAGACATAAGAAGATGCTGGATGACCTTGGGGACAGAAGAGGATATTCTCATTTGAAGGAGAAAGCTCTAGAATGCATTAAGTGGAGGAACTGTTTTAGAAGAGACTGTGGACCTGTCGTCTTGACAAATTACTGATGAATGAATGATGAAAATGCAATAGCACTGACATATTTTGACTTAAGAACTAGTGCAGTGTGGTGGTTTCAAAAAGTGAATGGCTGCGTAAGGATGACCACGTGGGGCCAAAACATATAGCTATTGACCGTGATTTAAATTTTATTTTATATTAGGGAGAGATTGTGAACAGACAAAAGTGAATGTGTAGAATGAAAAGTCTCATATATTGACACATTGGCTATCATGTCTCGCAGCATACTTTACACACTGCATGATCCATCAGGAGGCACACACTGGAAACCAATTCAAATAAATTAATTACACACATGATTTTTACCTGTGATCATATCATAAACGCTGACATCAGACATCAACATCACCAATGGCACCTGGAGAATTCTTGAATTATACAAGCAGCAACTGATGTGTTAAGCTTCATCAATATGTCAAAGGATTAATATACATAAATGCCAACTTAGGTCTTAAAAATGGACTGCTAAAGGAGAATGAAACTGGCTGGACAGAATATAGTGCTGGCTAATATACTACGTTTTAACATAACCAATTTGGTTTTCTGAGTGCTGTTACTAGCAGATGGATGGAAACAACAAGACTAATAATAGATCACCGTGGTCACGGTGCAAGGGCCAAGAGGGCCCACCCCTTGTACATTCAATGTGTGGCTTTTATTTGTTTAATTATATCTAATAAATGAGACCATATAATTGTACATACTTACGGGTCAAACACAAGACGTGAGATGTATTCTTTTGGCATACGAGGTAACTGGTGGGAGAACACATTTTGAAGACCAATGAGCCAAAGCATTGTCTGCTTCGAAACAGCTGACGTCAGTGAATTGCCAACAACATGAAAAGAAATAATTCCTCGCAACTCTTCTTGTTTGGCAGTTTCATCCCGAGGTGCATTCTCTGGGAAAACCGCCTACAATAAAGTTACTTGCTTCAGGAAAGCAAAATTCAGGCCTTCAAACAGCAAAATTAGAATCAAGTTTAGGAACAAGAGAATTACCAAATTATTATTTGTGTTACAAATTTAACACCAAGACTGAATACACACTGTGGTAATGAACAAACTGTTTCATGCCGCTTTGTTCTGAAAGGCTAACATGGAGGCCGCGCCATAGCTCAAGTGGTTAGTCGCTGGTTTCCCACCACAGTGGCCCAGGTTCAAGCCCAGGTCTGGTCAAGTGGGAGTTGTGATGGACAAAGTGGCCCTGGGGCAGGTTTTCTCCAAATACTTTGGTTTCCCCTGCCAATCTTCATTCCACCAAATTCTCCCTCATCATAATCACCCAGGGCAGGTACAATAAGCCAATGAGTGGCTGACATGCTGAATGGACCCAGTTGGACTACACCCCCCTGCTATGTGAATTAAAAAAAAGAGGCTAACATGAGTCATCACAAAAAATACAGCAAGAAGGAACATGCTAATCAGTTTTATGTAAACTTTTTCTTTCTCTATGCGAACAGAACAATGAAAATTGGGTATATAGCAGCTCAACATGTAGAAATCCAAAATTTGTATTAGGAAAACCTTTCAGCTTCCTTGATCAATTTGCAGGCATGGTTAGAAAGCCAAATGTATCTCTTGGCTATATCCATGCCTTTTTTCCGTTATCTGATCAACTGTAAGCATAACATCCATGCATGAGCTGCTTCTAAATCCATTTACACACAAGTGGCCTTCTTTGCAGCCATCTACATGGGAGCAGCCCCATCTGAAGCTATTTTGGCTTCTGCTGAGACTGTTTGGAATCTTCTTGTAACAATATTTGACTCCTGAAACCAGCAGGCTTATGTCTCCATATTTTGAACAATAAGAACAGCCTCCTTTCTTGAGGATTGGTTTCATTACAGCTGTGGACTATTCTACAGGAATTTTACATTCTTTCCAACAAACAAAACAAACTCCGTTATTTTAGTCTGCAAGCGAACTATACCTACCAAGCGACCGCCGCTTGTCAGTGAAGTTTAGTGCCAGCTTTTGCGGATAGAGGGTGTCATGTGGTCAGTGCAACGAATCCCCACGGCCGTTTATTTCGATTTTCTAGACCAGAGATGCTATTTCCTTGAAATAGCTCCTCAATTATCATCACAAGGCTGAGTGGACCCTGTTCCAGACCCACTACTTCTCAGAAAATACCTGGTAGAGCCGGGAATCAAACTTGGACCTCTAGATCTGTAGCCAGGAACACTGACCACTAGACCACAGAAGCAGTCCATTCTTTCCAACACATTTTTAAGAAGTGTAGGAGTTTATGTTCTAATGCAGAAATGTCCAGAAGAAGGTAGAAATGATGCAGATATGACTCCCAAGGGCATGACAGAAGTGATGAAGTTAGGTGTCAAGAGGTTAAGAATACAATCTGGGAATCTAATTTCAGAAAGTCAGACTGAGACAGGCATGGACATGTAGAGGAAGTTCATAAAACTGAATTCATTATTTCACATACCTCAGGACCAACCATGTTTGGTGGTGAATCAATTGTAGCAATGATTTCCACAACAGTCGCCTCTGGCAAATCTTCCATTGGCTCTGGAACCAGGCGACGTTTCTTGGCATCAGATTGTCTACAGCTTGCTGGTCCTTCAGGTATTACAGATGCTGCCCTTTTTTCACCAAGACTTTGCAAAAGAACTCTCATATTATTTTCAAAAATTTAAGTTGAACCATACACATACAAATACCACCCTAGAGTTGAACTTGGGGAAGCTTTCAGGTATCTTACAAATTTTTAAACTTGTAGTATAAATTCCCACTAATGTGATTGCAGACCTAATAATGATTAATTAAATGATATCATGTTTACTAAAATATAAGATGATCTACCTTTTAAAATTTAACATTCAAGAAATAGCTTCTTTCCCCCACTTTAAATTCCACCTTTTAGAGGTTAATATCGATCTCAAATAACATATGGGGTTTAACAACTTATGCTTGTGCAATGGATAGCAGTGCTATTTACACTGAAAACACTGAGCATGTACTTCACATCTATGACATGACACCTTTTCTTTCAGATGATAAATCAGGAAAATAATTCTCATTTTACATTCAGGTATGCATTGTACTATCAAGAATTTGTGACAACTGCATGCATTCAGAATTTTGTCAGTCATTTCAATTCTTGCATTTTGACCACAGATATTTATTTACCTCGCAGTCCCTCCTTCCCTGAGCTGCTTCTTTCCAAATCCCGGACTCAGGTTAACAGTGGTGAAGTTGTCCTTATCACTGGGTGGTACCGTCAGCTTTTCAAACTCCCCACTACGTCTTAATGAAGATGCTGTTGTTACTGATGCAGCAGGAAGTTTAGTTTCTAAAGACGCCTGCAGGTGGCTAGGAGGAACCTGCTTGAATTCTGGATCCCAAATTGGTGAACTTTGTGCATAAATTTCTTCCTCCAACAATGATAAGAACCTGCAATACACAGTATAATACACTGGAAATCACATACTATTGCTCTACAAAAATATAGGGTAAATTAAGACAGAAAGTGAAAAAGTGAATCCAAAGTTCAGAAAAGTAACTATCTGAAGGCAGTTGGCTGTCTTGTGTGTTATTTTTTTAGGTGACGTCTCAACTACGTAAGTTAAAGTACAATATGCAGTGTGAGGACAATGGCAAAGTGACCAAGAAGGATGTCCTAGGAAGCAGCAATGGCTTATTTTGAGGAACTATACCACAACTTACCTGGTGATGCGGAACAAAACATGATGAAACAACAGGAGAGCTGATCCCTGGACACACAACCAAAATCAGGAACCCCCACTTCATTCATTTTTAATATTATTATTAATATTACAGCAGGGTGAAACTGAGTCCCTTAGTACTTAGGCCATAAACAATCCATCATGTGAACCCTGGATGATACGGGAAAGCAATGGAGCACTTGGTGGCATGGGACTTCAGAGAGGATACCAAATTGGTTGGAGATATGACATGGATAGATATTTCCTGTCAGTTTATGGAATTAACGCAAAGATTCATAAAAAATATACACATGCACCAAATGATTTTTCATACTCTTCATAATTCATTCATTACAATTCACCTGGGAAAATGTGTAAGAACAAGAACTCTTTTCTCAGGAGGCATCCTGTCACGTTCATTGTGGCACTTGTCCATGAGCTGACGATACACTGAACGAAACACAGCACGCAACAAGGTGCGCCCAAACACTAATGTTGTCTCAAAATGAGGTAAGGAATCGCAAAATGCTGGCACATGGCAGAACACAAGCCACCTGCACAATGAAGAGAGACTTCAGTATAACATAGGAACCATATCATACTATCAATGACATCCAAGATATGAACATACCAACATCAGTACATGTCACACAAATGACTGTTGTTAAATCATTCTAGATATACAGCTAATGAATATATTTTTAATTTATTCCACGAATTTTACCTGAAATACTTTTCTTAAAAATAAATTATGACCTGTAAGCATTTGCCTCAATTACCTGATGAAGGTTTGAAAAATGCTCTTTTGAAGTTGGATTTTATAAAGTTCTAACACATCAAAATATGGAAGCAGAATATTATTTTTTCATCAAAAACCCAAATTCCAAATATATATGTAAGATTTGAGGCTTTCACGGCGGTGACTATGAAGAATGCAGTCTTCTGGGATTTGGCACCGTGTATATGTGGTGTTAACCGACGTTTCGGAGGAACGTATCGCCCCCATCTTCAGGGTTGAAGAAAAAGTATAAGTAATTCTGCAAGCGACAACACCGTGAGACACGATAAAGCAGAATCGTGTCTCACGGTGTTGTCGCTTGCAGAATTACTTATACTTTTTCTTCAACCCTGAAGATGGGGGGATACGTTCCTCCGAAACGTCGGTTAACACCACATATACACGGTGCCAAATCCCAGAAGACTGCATTCTCCAAATATATAATTGCAGTCCAGAGTGTTTAACAAGAATTAAAATGGAATGCAGGTAACAGGTTTCAGTATTAAACCTAATATCATTTTCATGTAAAGCCATTCAACTAGGACATAGTGACAATACTGGTATGTACATTTGTTGGACAGAACTCAATTCAAGTTTCCAACCTGTACAAAATTTTAGCTGCTTGCATGTCCCCATCATGAAAGCTAAAACAACAGCCTTGTCAGAGATCCACTCTTCTAAAGTTTCACTTATCCCAAACCTCAAAGAGCTGTACAGTAATAGCCGTTTAGTCTATAAACACAGCCTCATGATTCAGAACACTACTTCCTTATGCCAGATACCAAGACTTAGAATAAATATAATCCACTATTTAAGGCGTGACTTCTATTCATAGTATTTCCATTAATATTTGCTCCAACATGCAATAATATTGTCACGTGTTGGGTGTATAACGCGCAACAAGTAACTTCATGCCTTATTTCATATAGCGAATTTATTGCACTTGCTCTCACAATCACACAATTTACAATCTCACAATTACTGCCATCGACAGTATCACAAATACTAGACTGCAATTAACTGGTTACTCTTTCTGTAGTAACTGGCTCAATACTCACTACTCGCTAACCAATCACTCACTACTAACTAACTGACTGACTGACTACTCTTGACTGCTAACTCTGAGTAGTGTTCACTGCTCCTTAATTAGCCTCGGCACAGACAAGACAGAAAACAGTTACGTAATATGCACCACCGTTGCATAACGTCGTGTTTGCCGATAGCCTAGCAACGCTGTTGGGTGTTGTTTACTGCTGCATAGCAACTGTGGCATCCCGTGTTACATCACTGTGGCAATGGTTGCCTGGTGACCGCCGCTCCTCTGCCACGTCACCGCGGGGAAGGGGGTGTCTACGGAGCGTTGCACACTGATGGAAGGAGTGGAAGTATGTGATGTCACTCGCAAGATCACAGAGTTCACGCGACCCCCACCTCCCGCTATGCCATCTACGTCACACTGCTCCCTTCTAAAGGTTGTTCGTCCCGAACAGCCTAACCGTACATCCCCATTCCTTTTTCTTCCCGTTGCTGTGTCTCCTGTTGTTTCAGCTACTCCTCTTGCAGTGACTATTCTCCTCCTGTTACAACTGCTCCCTTCTTAAGACCATCTCATCTTGAGCGGTTTCCTGCTAACTTGCCAGATGATCCAGTTGTATCACATTCATCCTTCATTTTCTCTCTTGGGATGCTGGTGTTTCTAATTTACCAGCTCCTCCTGTGTACTATTCCATTTTTTTCGTTTCGGAGGGGGTCGACCCCTCCACAGTGTCCAGTGTCTCACCTCTCTTAATCTACTGGAAATCCAGATGGTTTCCTTCGCGCCCTCCAACATGAGAGCTTGTCCAAGGGCCTTGTGTAATGTCTTCATGCTTCTAAGAATGGGTTCCTTGATGTTTCGGCTCCTTAGTCTTCTGTTGTCTCCCGGGTGAGCTAGACGTCGCTTCTGGAGCGCTTGCCTTTTCTGGGATCTTGCTGGAGCATTGTCCCTGTCTCTGTGTCTCCTACGCCATACCACTTCTGTGCAGGGGGTCTTCCTGATTCTCTCAGCAGCCAGTTCCTTCCGCTGTTGACATTTTTCTTGGGTTGGGTGTTGTTTACTGCTGCATAGCAATCGCGGCATCCCGTGTTACATCACTGTGGAAATGGTTGCCTGGCACTGCCGCTCCTCTGCCACATCACCGCGGGGAAGGGGGTGTCCACCGAGCGTTGCACACTGATGGAAGGAGTGGGGGTATGTGACGTCACTCGCGAGATCACAGAGTTCAAGCGACCCCCACCTCCCATACGCCATCCACATCACAATATAATATTCTGCAGTTTTTATGTTCTATGATCTCTTGCTACCATCATGCAACAAACTATTTTAGGCTGACTGACTTGTGATCAATTATTCAAAGCTGGTGCTTCAATTGCAGACATTTTATAGCATCATATTAAACTGAGAAATAATCTTCAATGACATTACGTAATTCCTTTCAAGGAGACATGCAAGGCCTATTCAAAACAAATCTCTGCCAGGATATGTGGTAACCTGAGTAAAGCTCAAACCAGGTACTTCAACAATACAAGTACAGAGCATTATTGCTATACCATCTTTATTAGTGACCTACAAAATAAAGAATATCAGAATAAAAGTTACCAACATTATGGGTTAAAGATATGGACAAATTTATTTCTTTGGGAACAGAAATAAATTAAAGATAGAAAACTTACAGAGATCAACAGAAAAATACTATATGATTCTAAGATTTATCAACTTATAAAAATTAATGTTACGGAACAGAGAAAATCCAATCAATGCAAAATAACAATTTCCATATTAAATTCAAAACTATCTTAACATCTAGTGCCAAAACATAACCTCTAAAAACTGAAACAAAAGCAAAATCCAAACAATGAATATGATAACCTTGAGATTTATTCAGGGAAAAACAAGAAGGGGCAGAATCAGAACTGAAATTGAGTCAGACATGAAATGATTACAATGGTTTGGCCATATAAAAAATTAACAGAACAGGACTACCAAGAAGGGCATTACAATTAAATTTTAAAGATAAGAAACTCATGTGATAATGCAGAATAAAAGTTGAATTAGGTACTAATGACATCATGAAAAGAGGAAAGGGCTGACAATAACAAAGGAAAGACTGTGGGAATACAGACAACACTCAATACAATAGAAGTAATGCAAAATGAAGATATTTTAGACAAAATTGCATGTCATAAATACTATTACAGATCAATATTATTAAAGCTAACTTATACTGAATTTGGCCTGACAATTTTGAACACATCTGAAAAACCTCTGACCGACATTCTTTTTCTATGAAACTATACCACAGACATTACCTGGTGTAATTGATCTTGTATGCAGACACCTCTTCTGCTGTAACATGTCGCCTCGCACTTGGTGTCTCAAAGTTCCAATGGTTAAGGCAATGCAAGAACATCTTGGCCAAATCATACATTGTTTGCCACTCCTGAAGAAAAAGATCCTCTATGAACTTGTCCTAATATTGCCAATATTTTATTTTCACTTCCTTCTTACAAAGTTATGGATAATCCATTTCTTACCCTTTGAGCAAGATGCCCAAATTTGTAGAGAACGAAGTTTGTAATTGCTTTTGCTATACTTGGCCTTTCAAATGGTGGTTGACCAAGAGGCCCTTCAATGGTAGGTCTTGTCATTGTTAGTATACACTTCCGGAGCAACTGGAAGACAAACCAGTTTCATGTAAATAAGATTTAAAAGTTTGTGACTATGGCATATTAATGCAGTAATTGTGTTTTTGGGCATTATCCATCAACCTGTTTTTTTATTTAAAACACAACATTTAGGAGACTGGATTCTGTCTCTGCTTTCAGGTAAAAGCTTACTCAGCTGGGCCCAATTCATACATCTGCGCTTCAAGTCCAACCACCATCAGGTGAAAACAGGGGTCATTCATAGCTTGATCAGTAGAACCAAGGTCATATGTCAGGATCAGAAGGATTTCAACAAAGAAATTAGGAACACAAGACATGATCTGATACAAGAATTGACACCACGAGACACAATATAACAGGGCATGGTCATTGTCCCACATGTTATGGGTACCTCTGAGAAATTCAGACATATTGCAAATTGTTTCAATGTCAGGACCATTTTCAAAACTAAACATATATTCAGTGGGACACCGAAGGAAACTGTACCAGTTAAGATGCCCAGCAGACAAAGCAGTGTGTGTACAATATTTCATGTGAGTGTGGCAGATTTTATATCAGCAATACAATCAGACCTTTAGAAGGATGCATTAAGGAGCATAAATACAAAGTCTGAATAAAAAATGCAAATTACATGCAGATAAAGGCCACAAAATATGTTGGAAAGAAGCTACGGTCATGTAAAGTGAACCCAATGCCACCTACAGGAAATACAAGGAATTCACCCATATGGCTCTGGCAGACCATCCGATCATTCAACCCAGCTTGGACATGTCTCCCATCTGGACTTCCATTTTTGCAGCAGAAAGTCAGAAAACTACAACTCTGTTCCATGTAGACTATGAGTGAAAGTCGTGTTTCTATATTGGTACTGCACAGAGAATTTGTCTCTAGTGAAAACTTATATTCTGATAGTACTCTGACTTTAACAATAGCCATGAAATTGTCCATGGACATAGGTGGTAGGCCTCACATGTGTGGAGTTCTTTTAATGTTATTTATGTTAGTTAACTCTTGCATGTGATTCATGTTCTTCTTGGTTTATATGTCTTATGTGTTTGGTGCTTATGGCTGGAGATAGGGACTAGCTCTATTAATTGGCCCACCCGAGTAGGCTTTTACCTGAAGGCAGAGACAGAATCCAGTCTCTGAAATGTGTTTTAAATATAAAACAGGATGATGGATAATATCAAAAACACAGTAACTGTACAGTTTCATGTGCATAAGAAACTGCAACATTTCTAGTTAAAAATACAAACGCCAGAAATTCTGTTAATCAGTAAGATCAATTTCAGCATTTATTAGATGACATTAGTCCATTACATCTGCTATACCCCTCCATTGTTTAAGTCATGAATTCACTTCAACTCTTTCAAATGAAAGTCTGACTGTCACTTGGATGCTTGTAGCATCATTGTTTATCATCACATCTAGTTTGTATCATCATCATCATCATCATCAGTAATCTGTCAAGATGACAGGTCCACAGTCTCTTCCAAAACAATTCCTCCACTTAATGCGATCTAGCGCTTTCTCCTTCAAATGACAGTATCCTCTTCTGTCCCCAAGGTCATCCAGCATCTTCTTACGTCTTCTTCCTCGTCTTCTTGTCATTTCTATCCGCCCCTCTATCTTTCCTTCGATAACTTCTTTTAGAAGGCAGTTTCTGCGTAAAACATGACCAATCCAATTAGCCTTCCGTTTTCTTATTTCGTGTAGGATATTCCTCTGCTCACTGACTCTAATTAACACTTCTTCATTTCTCACATAATCGGTCCAACTGATCTTCTCCATCCTTCTCCAACACCACATTTCAAAACTTTCTAGATGTCTCTGATCTACTGCCCTAAGTGTCCATGTTTCAGCCCCATACAGAGCTATGCTCCAAATGTAGCATTTCACTAGTTTCTTCCTCAAATTTATGTCCAATTTGCTGGTAAAAATAATACACTGTATAATCACCACTTCTTATTTCACCTTGTCCTTTCCATCGCACTTCGCTGACACCTAGAACAGACACCTCATTCTTCTGCATTTCCATTTTCAAATTCTCCAATTTGCCTGCTTGATTCAAGGTCCTTACATTCCATGTGCCAATCTTGTAACCATGATGTTTCTTCTGATCTTCACACTTTTTCTTGTTGTAACGCCTGCATGACATATATAAAGGTAAAGGTAAAAGGTAAACTTGGCCCTGTGCTTAAATAATTAAGCACTATGCCATGAAGGCATATGGGGGAGTGGATGTAGAGACCCACATTTTCTTGACCTTCGCACTAGCTGGAGGTGAGTGGTCAGCTTCATGCCCTGGCCACTTACCCCTGGGGAAAGAGCCCCCAGTACCCATTGGATAGGCTGGGTGGACCCCAGAGCCAGCCTGGACAACGTGGAGAAGAAAAAATTTTGGAACCTACTGGGACTCAAACTCCAACCTCTCGTGGAGAAGAAACAATTTTGGAACCTACTGGGACTCAAACTCCAACCCCTCGGTTGTCCAGCACATAGCCAGCTGCTATAACAATTGCACTATCCCAGCTTGTAAATATACATGGTGCAATCCAAAAGGTCCCAAAATATATTAAAAAAAACTATTACACCTTACCTAGATCTTATTCCGCACCATCACCTTCAAAGTAGTCCCCTTGGGAGCACATACACCAATCCCAGCGTTTCTGCCACTTTTCAAATGCATCCTGGAAGTCTTTCTTTGTTACGGTGTTTAGTACCATCTGCGTTTCCGCTTGAATTTCCTCAACTGTATCAAATCTTCGCCCCTTCAACTTGATTTTCATCTTGGGGAAGAGAAAGAAGTCACATGGAGCTAAGTCTGGCAAGTATGGTGGGTGGGGAACAACTGCCATCTTGTTTTTAGCCAAAAATTCCTGCACAATGTAAGCCGTATACAGCCGTGCATTGTCATGGTGGAGTACCCAGTCGTTCATGCACCACTTCTCTGGACGTTTTCTACTCATGTTCTCCCTCAAACGCCATAGAACATTGCTATAGAACTCTTTATTGACTGTCTGACCAGGAGGGATGAACTCCTTATGAACAATCCTGTCAATATAAAAAAAACAGATCAACATGGACTTAATGTTGCTCTTGACTTGTCGAGCTTTTTTTGGCCGAGGTGAAGAAGGGCTCTTCCACTGCGACGATTGCTCCTTGCTTTCAGGGTTGTAGCCATAAACCAACTTTCGTCACCAGTGACAACCTTCGAAATAAAGTTTGGATCCTCTTGAAGCTGTTGCTGAAATTCTCTGCAGACTTCCAAGCGATGCTGCTTCTGTTCATTTTGCAGCAGTCGTGGCACAAACTTCGCAGCAATCCTCCTCATGTTCAGTTCCTCTGACAAAATTCATTGACATGTACCATAACTTAGTCCCAAGGTGTTACAGAGGTCTTGGATGACCAGTCTATGATCTTCCAGAATCAGATCCCTCACTTTCGTGACATTTCCTGGTGTTTTGGCCATTGACAGCTGTCCCGAAAGATCGTCATCATCAGTCAATGTTCAGCCATTTTTAAAACGCTTATACCAGTTGTAAGTTTGTGTCCGGCCTAAACTGTTTTTACCAAAAGCTTGCTTCAATATTTGGTGTGTTTCTGCAGCGGTTTTCCCAAGTTTGAAACAAAACTTTATACAGACATGCTGCTCTCTCAGGTCAGCCATTGCAAAACCGCAAACTCACGGAAACACAACAATGGAAATACGTTCGCCAACAATAAACCCAAACACTCAACTTGACGCCGCTTGCCTCACTGATTCAAGAAGGATGTGTGAGGAGACATCTAGCGGTATTTCGATGTACTCATAACCATTTGTGCGCAAAATTCAAATTTCGGAAACTTTTGGATTGCCCCACGTACAAACAAAAATAAACAGAAACTCCTTTGGAACAAAAATGAAATGAGTGTTCAAATGTTCACCTTCAGCTCCTCCTCTTCACTCATCTGCTCTCCTCAAAGTGTTGTATAGATTTTCATATCTTTCATGCCGACTCAATCAATTGCAAGTATAAATTCTATAATGTTCCTTCTATGTGTCCTCTTGGTTTCATTCAGTAATTTAAGAATGTTATCATGCCTTCAGCATATCTGATCATCAGAATCAGGAAATAATACCAAATAATCTCCACTTCATGAACATCCTCATAATGAAAAATGCTAGGGATCATAAGGCAATGTGTTTATAAAGATTTTCTATACCATGTTAATAAATTATCTGTGGTAACAAAATTCCAATATGACAAACACATAAAGGACTCCACCATCAAATAATATCTCTTTGCCATGAGTTTCAGTGATCCTGTAGCCACTCATTAATACACCACACAAATCATTAGTATTTAGGAATAAAATGACTATGAATGATGTTCATGTCTGGATGCCACTTTTCACCATTCCCCATGGAGAACTGTTCATGAAGTTACCTAACTGGTAAGATGCAGCACAATAATATATAATTTCTCTGTAACAGTAAGCCAAGAACTTTTATGGAGATAGCACAAAAGCATCTCATAACATTAAGAATATAAAACACCTGCTCAAAATGTAATTCCTTTCACTACAAAGTCTATTACACAGAATAATAATGCACTCATAACTCATATAATTATAAAAGAAACATGACCTATCATGAGGGATGAATGCATGGTTAGCCTACAGCAAGCCAAGCACACAAGAGACAAACACTTGCTTTCATAAAACTGAATTTTTAATCACTCTGTGTATGTACACACCAGAAAAAATTACAGTCTTAATTTTTACAAATAAGATACAATAACACATAGATTTTACAATCTTTAATGTTATATAAGATTTGAGGTTTCCACGGCGGTGACTATGAAGAAAGCTGTCTTCTGGGATGTGGCGCAATTTCTACACGATGTCACATCCCAGAAGACAGCTTTCTTTCAATGTTATAGTTTTTCTATTTTTATGTATTTTTATTTTTGTCTAGGTCAAATGTTCATGTGATCAATGTCGGCTAATTAATTTAGAACTTCTACTAATTTATGATTTTTCATACAGGATAATGCAAGCTATAAAACACTTATATATTACGGTTTATAAACTGGCCCTTGATTTTTCAACTTCAGAGCATGGCCAGTTTATTTGCAAGCATTTCAGTGTTACAGTTTCTAAATTGATTTTTTCTGGTTTTTGGAATTTATCAACTTATTTTTATGCATTCCTGGAATTTTTTCAAAACTAGCTGCAGTGGTAACAAACGCAAGATATCCCAAACATACATATCTTCAGTATGATTTCAAACAATAACCCGTAAATAATAGGGCTACCAGAGAAGAGATTTACAATCACCCTTCACTCTCAGGGTTAAAAAGTGGACAAACTACTTCTGAACTGAGGCACAACAGGATAAAGTAAACAAATGTTAATTCTGGACTACAGTTTCTCAACTGAGCTATGAACTGATTTGCTTCACAGATAGAACTACACTGTAAGGCTACTGATATCTTAGCATTATAATTAAACTCAAAGAGGACATAAATAATAGTATATACCTTGAATAGGTAGTAGTATACACGTTTTGTATCAGCGTCTTCTTCACGATGCATGCTCATGAAAATATTTTCAACATCAACCACCATTCCCAGAAGCCGATTAACTTCTTCTTCTGACAGTGGTGCAAGATGACTCACATGTGTTTCTAATTACAGAAAATATGGAAGTCATATTATAGCATTTAATAGATACTGTGGTTAAATCAGAGATTCCCAGTCAGTCTGTGGATTTTTATGAGAACCAGAACCAGGCTCCCAAGCAGCATCACTGCATTTCTCTTTTTGTTCTATTACTGCGATGAAATTAGGTTCCAAATATAGAATAGGAATATCTCACACAGGATATCAGGTATCGATCTGTGCTCATCCATCAGAATGCAAACTTTACAAGGCAAGAATCCATCTGAGATCCACATTAAATGACAGGAAATTTATGGAAATCATGCATGGGTAAAATGTTATCGAGGAACATTCCTGCCTTAATGTTTATCAAGAATTACTCTGTGGGATATGCAGATGCTCTGTATGATTTCATCTAATTTTAGTATAAAAGAAAAAGGTCAAGCTATCCCTGTAGCAGGCCATGGGGGGTCCACAGGATGGTGAGATCTTCAGGCTCCCACATTTTCTAGACAATCAGCTCACAGATGGCAGTGAGGTTATCAGCCTTACTCCAGCTGCCCTTTACCCCCCCCCCATAAAGGTTTCTGGTACTCACTTCTGCTGGAGGTGGAGTCAACCCTATGGACACAGTGTGGCTGAAAGGATTAGGTTAACTGAAAAATCTAATGACCTCTTCAGGAAATGTACCCACAATCTTCTGGTTTATAACAAAGTGCCTCAACCAACTACACTACCCCAATTATAATATAAACATAAAGCAATTTTTTCCCTCATGTGGCCCATAAGACTTTTACATATATCCTCAGTCCTTCAGCAATGATATTAGTAACTGCTTTGCCCTGCTTGTGGCACCCCACTACCCAGATGTTTCACCATCCCATATTCACTGTCTCTGTCTTAATATTGCCATCTTTGCCTTACAAACCCAGCCATCCAAACTAGAAGCACTACTACAGTTGGACAGGATCAACGTTCCTTCACCTCTCATAATTTTACTTTTCCACTTCTTTATGTTGTGATGGACAGACACCTACTCAAACTATGTGGATGGCACCTACAGGAAATTGAAAGCAGATACAGCAGGATTAGCTGTCATAAGAATAAACTTTTACTGTCATTGGAACTCCGTGTGTTGGGAGCTTTACTGAATTCAATACAACCAAAGAGTTCATAGCATATAATCTTATGTTAAACTAGTGGTACCCGGCCACGCGTTGCTGTGGCTCAGTCTTGTTAAGTTTGTAGACATCTTTGTTCTAGGCCGCAAGAATAGCTCATTCACTCAGCCAATCATGATTCTTATAATTGGGTTGAATATTGGGAAATACTTTTTCAACCAATTCTTCTTTTGACGTCACTAAATTGCAGAAGTTATGAGGCAACGAAATTCGTCCTGAGGCCAGATCAACCGGCACCTTTCTGTTCCCAATTTCCAGCAATTGATGTGAGAATATCTCAGCTGATCGATCGTTTTGCAGCTGGACACCCATATTTGTAGTTAATTTTAACGTCTTTATGTGTCGCCACAAAGTAGAGTATTTCAGGCAAGCATTTATTTCATCTGCTGGTGTCGATCGAGGAATTACAGGTAATGTTTGCCTGAAATCTCCTGCAAGCAATATTAATGTGTTCCCAAATGGTCTGATGTTTCCACGCAAATCTTGCAATGATCAAAGAAGCTTCAAGCGATTTTTTGTGCGCCTCTGTGCATTCATCCCAAACAATAAGTTTGCATTTCTGCAATACCTTTCCCATGCCTGATGCTTTGGAAATGTTGCACGTGGGAGTTTCAATGAATTGCATGTTCAATGGCAATTTCAAAGCAGAATGAGTAGTTCTTCCACCTGGCAGCAATGTTGCAGCTATTCTGGATGACACAAGAGCTAAGGCTATGTCATTTTTGGATCGAATTTCTGCCAGAATCAATCTAATTAGGAACGTTTTACCAGTTCCTCCTGGCGCATCTAAGAAGATTTCTGCAACCCCGTTATTGACAGTTTGCAATATCTGATCGTAAATGCCTTTTCGCTCAAGCCTTAGCTTAGGAATATTTGACTGCACATATGACAAAAGATCACCCGTGTTGTAATTTTGTTCACGACGCAATTCTACATTGAACGAAGCAGCAGCAGATCGATTGGGTGATGACATTCCCAATTGATTGAGATCTTTGTTCGCGATTTCTAAGCACAAATCTTCAATCATTATCAACGGCGGTTAATACAAGCATGTTTTTATATACCTATTATATAGATGTCACACCTGTGACAGGTAAAAACATGTCACATGTTCGGAATTCAGGAGTCACTTCCATAGTAACACTAGAACAGACCGTTGCATAGGTAGCGACAATAGCGGTATTGTAGCCCCAACAGTTGGCCGTTGCCTGGGAAGTAACAATAGCGATACTGTAATCCCAACAGTGAGCCGTTGTGTCGAGAACATCAAATCTCCACGGTTACGACGAATACACAGAGCGTTCCCACAGAGACAACGCAATAACAATGGGTCGTTGTGTAGGAATCGCGGAATCAACAAAGCAGCATTTCCCCGGTTATAGACAACAGAAGGCATTGTATAGATCTAGACATGGGTTGCTTCTCACATGGACAATTATATGTTGCGTGTTCTAGAGTCGGCATACCAGACAATCTTTATATCTGCACAGACAATGGAACAACAAAAAATATTGTATACCCACAAGCATTGTGAAATTAAACATATTAGAAACGTGTGCTTTCTCTTTTCTTTCTTTTCCATTTAACCAGACTGAGCCACAGCAACGTGTGGCCGGGTACTGCTAGTTCAACATAGAAATACGAACTAAAAACAACCTGAGAGACAATAAAATTTTCTACATATACACAAAAGAGCAATTTTTACAAACAAAAATTAACTGTCATTATTTTGTCATGAAATGCAGAATATAATCTTTAGTATGTTATGAAATTCCAGAGGAGTTACCTCTACTTCTTTTTTTCCAACCTTGAGACTTGGTGATACTGTAAATATAATCACACTATATACTCATACAATAATATTTTGTTCAGACTGTACGCGAGTTTGAACTGCGTCACTTCACAGTTTACGATACCTCACACTCTGATGTGCGTGTGCCACTTCTCGAAGGAGTCCGTGACACACACAGCGACACCACCCTTTCTACAATAGAAAATGGTGCTCCTACTTCTCTTATTTAGCGAACACACATAACAACGTCTTTGTTTCCCTCTGGTTGGCCAGTATTGTGAATGTTTCACCTCCAGTTCACTCAGTTGGGCCCCAGATAACTTTGGCCTCCCCCGAGAAATGACACTGACCATGATATTCACCTTGTGCGATTGAAGAATCATCTTGGGAGGGGGGTTTCCAGCAAAATCGAATAAATTATGTTGATTGACAAAGCGACACTCTCACCCGTTAGTAATACTCGCAAAATACTGATGCAAAGTAGTTATAATACTAGTCAAAAAGAGTGCCACTCTGACACTGATACCGAAAGTCACAGTGGCTAAGATGCCTTTTACTCACAAAGTAATACTGGCTCTGTAGGTTTATACCTCTTCCAAGACACAATATAAAAATGATATATAAAGAAATATATGAGTCTGACACTGACTTTTTAACTGATAAAGAAATATATGACAATCCAACACTGACTTCCTAACTGATAATTTGCTACTGAAAACCAATCCTTGAAACCTCTGGAAGCACTGCGAGCATAGATGAATATTTACTCCTCAGTTCTCAAAATAACGCTGGGCTCTATTTGGCTGACAAGGTAAACAGTCATATCTAAATGTACCAGTACAGTGATAAACGATTTCATTGTTCAGAGCTAATGAATGAACCACTGACATGACCTTGGTGGGTTTGTTTTGGTTTCAAACCCAAGATCAAACTGTCAGCACTCCCAAAGGGAGCAGTGTCCTGCCTCATGTAAATATAACATTCAGCCATAGCCTGCTGCTTGCTACAGATATATATGACATTCATCAGTTAGAGGTTAAATGGAAGGTGAATGAAATTTCACCAGTGGATGTTTACATAACTTCCCACAAAGCTAAGCATCACTCAGAGATTGTTTTCAATTGGAGTCAGCATTCTGGATATCAGATGATAACTGGCTTTGGACATGTGTAATTGTCTTTGAACAATTTGACAGAAAGAGGAAATAGGATAGGAAAATCTTCCATTATCGTAACATACATCTGTTCACAAACCTCCAGATCAAAAGCACATTTGCAGTCATCTTTGAATATCTCCCTTTCCCACATGACTGCCTCCGCCAGAGTTTACTTAGGGGTAGGCAGACTTGAAATATATACTGGACATAGAGATATGAATGTACTCAGCAGTTTTCTTTCTTTTGTGAGAAATTTAAAAACTGATCAATGTACAAGTGCCACTAGAACAATGATGCTGACACAAAGAGCTGTAAAGAACGTACCATAATTCTGAAAACAAAAGAGGCACTGGATGTGAATGTTTACAAAACATGTCACTACAAATCAGAGCATGCAATCTCAACTCAGGTAAATGGTAATGAATCTGCATTCCATACCTAGCACATGTGTGCAGCTGCGACATGGATCAGTGAAACTTGCTAATGGTTGTGACACTTCAACACGAGGAGATTTTGCAGGTGGTATTGGTGTCTTCCACCCATTGCATTTGCATTCATCGGCCTGAAAAGATGTTCCAAAACAAAAAATCAAGAAACAGCCACACATTTGCATATAATGCCTTCTGTATGTGTAGACAGGTTTCCACAACACTGGGTTTCATTTCAGTTACCTGCTGTGTTAAACTTCTGAATCCTTCGGAAAAGTCTGTGTGATGCAGATGAACTGAGAATATTTTTGTATAGACTTTTTCCCTATGCTGAGTTTCATTAAAGTCATTAAAATACTGTTACACACTTCATCCTAAAGCAACCAGTTCTACTGATAAATTTTATATATGATCATTTACATTATTGATATTTAGAAATGATTATTCATAATTCCTTTATTTTACAATACCATATAACTGACTAACTAATTATCTTCATGTAATTGAACCCCTCTTGAGAAGATGCCAGTTGTGCAACTACTCAAGAACTTTCCAGAATTTCATGGAACCTGAAGGTTAATCACCATATTCATAACAACCTTCCACTGGTCACTATCCTGAGCCAGATCAATCCATTCAATATCACCCCATCCTATCTCTCTAAGATCCATTTTAGTATTATCCACCCACCTACGTCTTGGTCTTCCTATTGGTCTATTGCCTTCTGGATTTCCCACCAATATCCTATATGCAATCCTCTTCTCCCCCATTCGGTCTACAAGCCCTGCCCATCTCATCCTCCTTGACTTCATCATTCTAATTATGCTTGACGAAGAGTACAAGTTAAGAAGATCCTCGTTATGCAGTTTTCTCCAACCTCCTGTCAATTCCATAGAAAAACGTATATTCACCTGCTGGTTTGGTACCACCTCTGTCCCATCTGACCTCCTTTACTCCTACTAAATTTAACTTATATTTTGATATTTCTTTCACAACTGTCATCAGCAAACTTGCCCTATACAGATTTCTTACTATCCATGAACCAAATTTCATGTTCATTTTTTTAGCTGAGGTCATATACCAAAGGAATTTGGTAAAGCTATCCCTATAACAGGCCACGGAGGCCCACAGGGTTGTGAGATGTCAAGGCTCCCACATTTTCTAGACAATCAGCTCACAGACAGCAGTGAGCCTGTCAGCTTTATACACCGGCCACCCTTTACCCCCAGGAATATTCTTGGTACTCATTTCTGTTAGAGGCTGAGTCAATCCCACAGTCATACTGCAGCTGGAAGGATGAGATCTATTGAGAAAATTGAATGAACTCATCAAGAATCAAACATATGACCTTCCGGCTTGTAGAATAGTGCCTCAACCAACTACACTACTGCATGCCCCCTACAATACCACAACCTACGTTTAATTCAATTTTCAACTTATTTCTGAATATGTTAACTTCTTAACTAGAATTCATTAAACAGGTACTGAATGTCATAACCCAGTTCCCTATAGGAAATTTCTAAGACATTCTATTAAGGTCTGCTGGCTTCTCTTGGACAATATATTTTCGGTTTAAGATATCTTTAAAATGTCAGTTCTGAAACTTTTCCATGCTTACCAGTTAAAAGCCTAATGGCAACAGAGACTTTGTTTCGATCACTTTATTGTCTTCCACATATGGTCCCCATTCACACACATACAAGCATGACATAATGACAGCAGATTTCAGTCCTTTGTGAGACAGCATCAGATACAATCAACCTCTGAGTTAAGATCATAAAATGAAAATATATTATAAAGCATCCATAGATGATTATACCACTTTCTGAACTCACATGACTGAAAATCACACTCTTCCTTTGTTTTCATGAGGTCCCAGGTTTATATCTCAGGAAACTGATTGGCTATCCTGACTAAAGTCTACTGTGGGATTTCTGTTTCTCCATTCAAATGCCATGATAGTACCTCAAATTAGCTAATGACTGCTTCTGTTCACATCATTTTCAAGTCATTATTCACTAAACATTAGGTCACTCTAAGTTTGACAGTGGCAGTGTCATTAAATAAACCACATATAAATAAAATATATACAATTTTTTACTCTCTGCACATTAACCACTGCTCTGTTCCTTGTTCAAAACAATGTTTTGGAGACTGTCCCCGTCCTCATGTATGTACCCAATCAACAGAGCTAGCTGCTATCTCCGGAGTTACCTCTAGATCAACCTGTTTTGTGTAAAATATATTTAAACAAAGATTAAATATATTGTAACATGGCAGAATATCTCAACAGAAAAGTTGACTGTTGCTAGGCAAAAGCTGGTAAACATGGTTCCACAGCCACAAATCAGCAAGCCATAACACAGGACCAGATGGGCCACTGATAGGCAATACAATGTTTTCTATGCAGTCCATGCCAAGGTTATATAACAAGAGGTGGTTAGTTGTGAACATGGGTTCAAACACCTACACCGCAGCCCTCCGAATTGTAGGACACAAAAAGGGGGCCCAGTGCCAGGGGGTACAGCTGGGCCACCCTGTTCCTGGGGAATATAAATACAGGGACCTGGCCCTACAGATTGGAGGAGTCTCAAATCTGAGACAGTAAAATATGATCATGTGTTGTATATGCGTTATTGCTGTATAAGAGCTATTCCATTTGCTAAAGGTGTTGTATACGCTATGTTATTTCATTAGCATTTACTCTTAATATGTTATTTCATTAGCATTTAATTTTAATAGAAATGTAACAGAAATGGTAGCGACACATGAGGATGCAAGCATGCAGTTGAGATAATAAAGGGGGTCATATGCGTGACCTCCATCTTAGGCAGCTGTGGCTGCTAAAAATCACGTACACATAGGGTATAGTGAGCGAAGCCCACAAAAAAAGGGGAGAGACATAAGCAAGCAAACTAACAGAGCTCTGCTCTGAAATATTCTTACGACTGCTGGTGTTATTAAAAACAAAGAATAAAAACCCAGTCTGAAGCAGATGGAATGAGAGACTAGTCGTTGACCGAGATAGCGGGTAGGTAGAGCCAAGACAGCCTTCCCTCCCTGGAACCCTAGCTATCAGTCCTCAGGTGTGGCGTATATGTGTAATCAACAGAAATTAGTTAATAAACTCAACTGCTGATTACACTGCTCTTGTCGGATCAATCGATCCTCCTCTGTCAACCCGGATCCCCAGCGTTTACCACGCGCACCCAGCCTAGGAAGCACCAGACCTGACTTGTGCGCCAGTAACATCCACAATACGCCAGTGCTGGGCACCCACCTAGGAACTTCGGGATACAACACATGAGTGCTGCAGGACTTGGACCACAGAATGACTGCCCTGGTGGGGGCCAGCAGCAATTGTAAAAGTCACACCTGTCCTCTTGCCATAGAGGGAGCACCACATCAACAAACCCGCAACTGTCTGACAGTAATGAAAATCTGATCTTGAGCCCCAGATAGGTGCTTGACACCAATATAGACTGCCTGACTGACCATATTATCGGTCATAACATAACTTTGATTTTTGTGGATATGAGCATGGAAGCAGAGGAGTATCTACTGTTGGGACCCATTACCAGGCAATGACTGGTGAAGACAGCACAAACTGGCAAGACTTTATGCATGCTGCAGTACAGCGATTTGCAGAGTGCATATTTCCGTGAAACTGTTGTAATCTTGTACTTCTTTTGGCTTATTTTGGACTTCACCCATCGTCCGGTATATAAAAAAGACAAAAAACCACAACGTTTCGGAGACTGGATCTGTCCCTGGTCCAGTGATTGAGACTAGCTCTTTCTAAGGGGCCCAACTGAGTAGGTTAAACCTTCCCTATACACCTGAGATGGAGAGCCATCGTCAGAATCCTTTCAAGTCTATCTGTTGTAATCTTACATAGTTACGAGCCATAAGTGTACAATAAATCCAATTATCAATCCAAACTCCATGTCTAGTCACTAACACATGACAATATACTCACTACCAACCTCTATTAACTCACCTGTAGTAAGCACACAAGCAATAACAGTGGCCCTGCTCTCTCACAAATTGAACACCTCTCATAATTCAAAATCTTGAAACATAACTGACTGAACCAATATACAAGTGATCTGAGAATTATAGTTTTATTTCTTTTATTGCCAAATACTGTAAAAGCAATAACCTGACAAGCAGAGTAGATGGCCAGCTTGAGGAGTTTCTTGTTATGAGGCCAGTTATACACTTGTTGTTTGCGCTGTTGGATTCGCTGAAGATTACTCTGTCGAGATGACTGATCAGCAGCAGCCGCACTTCCTGAAGATGACACTCCTGAAGAAGATGGTGGAGGAGGCTGAGGTGGTATGCGAGATGTTCCATCATCTGATTGGCTTGAACTTGGGCCTACTTCAGATGTGCTCCCAGAAAGCTGACTCATATCTGTACCTGTAAACAAGAGCAAAAAATTTCCAACTATACAGATAATAATAGAGCATTATGACCCAAGAAATGTCATATGAAACAATTTATGTCAATATATTTTGTGAACATAAGTGAGAGAACATTAAAATAAATGACCAATTTGTTTAACCAGGTGCATTTATGTTTATACTTGAAAAATTAATAATCTTCACAATTTCAATTGCCACAGTTGCTTCTCTGACAACTGCGGTTCTTAATCACTTTTATAAATAACAATGGCTTGAACATTCTTAAAACCAGTTCAGTACTGTGCTGACTCCGTGTTCACACAGGTAGAGGCCTTGTGACGAGCTGATCACCCACCCAAAGAGTCCTACCGAATGTCTAAGAACTAGTAAACCAAAGTGAAATGGACAGTTTCATGGAGGTAGACCAAGGCCAAAATTGGGGCAAAATAAAAAAAAAAAGACTGAGTGTGACTAGATGGGGTTTGGATTGGTAATCAGATTTATTGTACACTTATACGCACAGTTCATAACTACAAGTAACTATAGCGCTATTGCTAATTCATGCACTCTACAATTCATTACAGCACATACTAAGTTCTCTCATTCTGCTCTGTCTTCACCAGTTGTCACTTGGTAACTGCTTTCAATGCTGCAGCTTCAGCTTCTGTGTTCATGTCCTTACTGGCTGGCAACTGTCCCACAACTAACTCCTACTCTTCTAACTGCTATCTCATAATCACAGCTGCTCCTCCTTTTATAGCCTTGGCATGGACAGCGTAGAAAACACTATTTCCTACAGTTTTTCCACTATTTTGTGTGTGTGTGTGCGTGCATGCACACCTGTTGCAGCCATTACCTTGCAGTGGCCATTGTTTACAGAGCCATCATCCACCAATGGCTGTTGTATATCTGCTTATTTTGTTGCCTAGCAATGGGTCTATATGCCACAATATAGTAATAGCTTTAGTCAGCTCTTAATCTATTTTGTGAGTCACAGTGAAGCAATATATTGCCTAAATATACTGACTGGCCTTAAGTTAGGTAAGTTACAGTATTTATTCTTGGTCTGGCAGTAGGTCCAAGTTCAGCAACATACTGAAAGGCTCAGATGGATATGAAAGTTTGGCTGAGGTGTATTCTCCAGCTCAATATAATAAGAAAATTGTTCATGGCTCAGATACCACAAGTGGAGCTTGGAATCACCACATGCTACTACTGACAGTCCACAGTGGGTGCATGGCAAATATTTCATTTATTCTTTAAATTCTATAAATCTTTTTTTTTGGCCAAGCCTAGGATGTAGAACAAGTTACAATTAAATCAAAACATACACAAGAACAGTTCATAAAATAGAACTCAGTCACATACAGAACAGTCATAAAACAAATACATAGTGACAATCAAACCACAAACAAGTGGAAATCGTTCAAGTTACAATCGACTGAATTACAACCCATAAAAGCCTACACAACACAACCATAACATATACATTTCACACAATTTCAATATTAATGTACACTAAAAGTTCAATTAACGAATACAAATAGAAATATATAAATAATAATATATAAATATAAAATATGATAATTACATATACCTTATGAGATAAAACAGCTGAAGATTACATTATATATATTTTCTGTCCTAGTACGGTTACTTATTAATACAGGCAATCAGCTGAGCAGCTCAAATCCAGTAAAATGTACACCCTTCTGGTAGGATGACAGAAAATAGAAAGTTAAAACAATATAACAAGTTATACATTAAAAATATTGATAACTAACCAACTCCACTGAGGTGAGAGATATGAAACTTAATTCAAGAACTACCTCTTACGTTTCTTGACATACTAAAGTTAAAACCTTCCAGCATTGTTCTGACATTAAAAACATGCTTAATGAATTTTACCAAAATGTAAGAAAACGTATTCCTTTGTCCATTAAGTGTGAATGAAGTTAAGTTATATGGTTTCGAATGCTAAACATACGAACCGCTAACGAATATCTTCGAAAACTCGAAAATCAAAGTATTCAAACCTTTAAACGTCAAATTCGAACGGAAGGCAACAGAAGGCATTATAGGATTGCCTCTCTACTATAGAGCTAATGCCCTATAATTTGTACTGCCTCTTACCTCGTTATTACAAATTCGTCTACCACGCCGTTCACTTCTGCAAAATACGACATATACTCAACTTTCAGCAAAACAACACCCTATTCCTATCCCGTTCCTAGGCTCATAGCTCATGCAGCCTATGCGAAACAGATACGGAATGTGTGGTGGACTGCTGGATCCCCGTGACGCCCGTGACCGTGACAATGGACGTGTAAACTCGCCCAACATAACCTGTTAGAATGTTAGAAGTCGATGTAAATCAGACATGCTCAGGCAAGTGGCCCAGAATGCCGGGAAGAAAAAAAATTACGTGCGGGAGCAAGGTACTTTGTTTTGTTTGAGAGTAATTATTTTTCGTAAGTTGGTAAATCATAGGACGTTGTGAAATTTGATTGATAGGAATGATCGGAAATGATTGTCTGCGTTATAGAAGTTTGATAGTTGTGAGGAATATCCAAGTTTATATATATATATCATGCAGTATACTGCAGAAGGCTGCCCCAACAGCCAAAGAGAGGAAGGCCAAAATATGGTTCGATGCAGAATGTTACAGTATGAGAAAAGCAACAATAAAGGCACTACACAGAGCAAGGCAAACTCAGAATAGCAACGAACTAAAAGAATATGCAGAAAAAAGAAAAAGATACAAAGCACTGATAAAAAGTAAGAAAACGGAACACATCGAAAATGAAGGGAAAATGATAGCCGAAGAAGCCGAGAAAGACCCGTT